TCAAGACCTGAGCTGTGGACGCTAAACCGACTGAGCCACCCAGGCGCCGCAAGAGTCTCCTTACCTTTCTAATCAGCCACATTAGATGTGTTCACCTCTTTTATGTTCTCACAACTTCTACACCTCCTTCAAGTCAGATACTGTTCTAAGCATTTACATCTTTATAAGAACCCTATAAAGTAAGTACTATTATTATTCCAATTTACAGATAAGGAAAACAAGACTCAGAGAAATTAAATTGTCAGACAGCAAAGACACAGAGCTAAGAATTAGGCCCTGACAATCTGGCTGCAGTCTGCGTGCTCACATATTATTCTACTGGTATGCAATAAATTCTTGATAAATATGTGAGTGAACACAACTGATGAAATGTAGTAAGCAACTAAAGAAAAACTTCTGTGTACCCTGAAATCCTGGACTAGAATCCAGACTCTGCCATTTACTGGAAAGTTATCCAATCTCTTTAAGTCTGTTTCCTCTTCTGTAAAATGGAAATGGTAGCTCCTTTGTCGGTTATTGGGAGGATGCACATAAATATGGATAAAGTAGGCACCCAAATAAACAACTTAAATAATTGACGTGACTGTATGTGTAACACAAGGTACACACAGAGAATATTTTAGTATAACTAGGTGAGAAAGAGATATGAATCTAATAATATAAAAGATAATATTTATTTCATATGTGCCAGGAACTGCGTAAATTCTCAACAAACATTGACTGATTTCACAACAATGTGACAAAGTTAAGTGCTATTATTCTCCCTGTTGTACAGATAAGGAAACAGGATCGTGGAAGAATCTAACCAAAGTCACATAGCTAAATAGCAGTAGGAGGCCTGGATTCAAACCCAGTCCTGATTCTAGAGATGGAGCTCATTAGCACTACATTTTCTCACAACTGCCTCAGACAATACAGTGGGTGGTTTTGAGCCTGACAGATGGAACAAAGGGGGAGAAAGAATGGGGGTAGAGGGATGGAACAAAGAGGCTCTAGGAGTTCAACATGGGCAGCCTGAGTGTGTGGTGCCTCTGGCGTGTCCAGGTGAAGCGATTTAACAAACAGTTGAAATACAGGATTGGAGCCCAAAGAGAGGGTAAACTGAAAATAAAGATTTGATGGTAGCTTAAATTTTGGGAAGAGATAAAGCCATTCACAGTGAATGTATGAAAGGAGAAGGGAAAATGAACTTGGAAAAGCCCTTAAAAACCAGCCCTTAGGAGCAGAAGGAAGTAAGACCATAAAAGGCACTGATAAACAGAAATGTAGGGAACTGGGGAGTGTGTAGCTGAGATCACAGAAGAAAGGAGGGACTGGCCAATTAATTCATTTAGTTGACAAATTATTGAGTGTCAAAAACTGTTTTAGGTGCTAGCAGTATATTAACAGACAAACGACAATAATCCTTGCCCTTGTGGATTTTACATTCTAGTTGAGGGAGACAGATACATAAATACATAATTTATGTATACAAATACAGAATATATACATCTATAAAATATATATGTATGTAAATACATAAGCACATAAAATGTCAGGTGGAAATAAACACTATGGAGAAAATAAAGCAGAGTAAGGTAGGCTACAAAATGACGGAGTGGGAGGGACTACTGGATATATGGTGAACTATGGAAATACCCTCTGAGAAGGTGAATCTTCAAATAGACTCAAGAAAGTGAGCACGTGAGTCCTGTGGATATCTTGGGGGAAGAATACTATGCAGAGGGAACAGGAAATAAAAAGCCTTGACGGTAAATGTGCTTGGATGTGGTTGAAGAACAAGAAGGCTAGAAATGCTGGAGTGGAGTGAAGGAGGGTAGGATGTTAGGAGATGAGGCTGAAAGACTGGGGAGGATATTGCAGTTTACATAAGACTTTGGCTTTTATTCTGAGTCATATGAGGAGACGTTAGAGAAATTTTACAGAGATGAAATGTTTTGAATTATGATTTAAAAGGATCACGCTGGCTGCAATGTTGAGAACAGACTGGGATGGAAATGGTAGAGCAGAGAGGGAAGTGCTGTAAAACTCCAGGTAAGGGATGGCAAGGCTTGGACCAAAGTGTTAGAAGTGGAAGTAGTGAGGGGGTGCCTGGGTGGCTCAGTTGTGGTTAAGCCTCCGACTCTTGGTTTTGGCTCAGGTCATAATCTCATGGTCCCGCGACAGAGCTCCGTGCTGGGTGTGGAGCCTGCTTAAGATTCTCTCTTACCCTCTCCTTCTGTCCCTCCCCACCCCACCCCCGCTCACGTGTGCACATGCACACATGCTCTTTCTCTCTCAAAAAAAAAAAAAAAAAAAAGGTGAAACAGTGAGAAGTGACTGTATTCTAAATATGTTGTAAACATTGAGCCAACAGTATGTCCTGGCATCCAAGTAGAAATGTAAATCTGGGATGTGGTGAAAGGCCTGGCTGAACATCCTTATTTGGGAGTCACTAGGGTACAGAAGACACTTAAAGCCATGGGACTAGTTGAGATCTCCTAGGAAGTGAGAGTAGATGGAAGAGAGGTCTGACCTCCTCAATGCTTAGAATTTGGGGAGAAGAGGAACCAGCAAAGGAAACTGAAAGGCAGCAGCCAATGAGGTAGAAGAAGAACAAGGAGACCTCAATGTCTTGGAAACCAAGCAAACAAAGTAAACAAAGAGTGATCCGTTGTGTCTCATTTAAAGTAGCATAAAGAGGGGCGCTTGGGTGGTTCAACCGATTCAGCATCCTACTCTTTTTAAAATTATTTTTTTTTATGTTTTATTTATTTCTAGGAGAGAGAGAGACAGCGTGAGCAGGGGAGGGTCAGAGAGAGAGGGAATCACAGACCGAAAGAGGCTCCAGGCTCCGAGCTGGCAGTCAGCACAGAGCCGGACGCGGGGCTCGAACCCACAACCACGAGATCATGACCTAAGCGAAAGTAGGACACTTAACCGACTAAGCCACCCAGGCGCCCCTCAGCATCCTACTCTTGATTTTGGCTCAGGTCATGATCTCATGGTTCACGGGATTGAGCCCCACTGCTCTGTACAGACAGTGTGAATGGAGCCTGCTTGGCATTCTCTCTCTGTCCCTCTCCAGCTCACACATTCTCGGGCGTCCATGCACACTTTCTCTCAAAATAAATAAACATTTAAAAAAGCATAAAGAAAAAGTTACCATGGGTTTGACAATCTGAAGGTCACTGGTAATCTTGACACAAGTTGTTTTCATGAGGTGGCAGGGACAAAAGCCTGATTGCAATGTGTTTACAGAAAGGGGAAAAAGAGAAGTAGAAACTTGTGTGTTCTGGTTCAAAGAGAAGCAGAGAGAGGGTCAGTAGCTGGACTGTAATGTGCAGTTACAGGTGTCTCTTGTTTTATGCTGGGAGATGTTACACCAATGTCAAACATTACAAAAGGACCGAATGAATTTAGGACATTTTATTTGGGTGTCAGGTCTCAGTAACAGTAACAATAACAACAAGATTTCCATGAATAAACAATTAATGAAGCATTAGACAAAATAGATAGGACACACAGATTTAGTGGGTGGGTGGGGAGATACGGGAAATAGAAGGTGACAGAGGGAAAGTTTTGTTTTTTAATTCGTGAAGGCAGAAACTTGCCTGTCTTCAGGCTACGTGGAAGGAGCTAGTTGAAGGGAAACGGCTGAAGAATCAGAAGAAAGGGTGACAGATGGTGCAGGGACGGTTTCAGGTAGGAAAACTGTCACCTAACCCTAAGAAGGGAAGGGAAAGGCAGGGAAGGGTCCGGGTGGTCCAGCTCAGGCCTGAGGTCTCTAAGTCGCCCACAAATGGCCATGAAAAGGTTCCTCTCCTCATGGACATTCTTGGTTTGAGGAGAATAAAGGCTGGCAAAGCTGTGTGCCTCCCTCCAGGCCCCTAGACGCCCAGCAGAGAAGCAGGGGTAGTGTGCTGAGGCCTCAGGACGCTAGGGTGGCAGAGGAAGCGGGCGGCAGCGGCGGGCCGGGGATTTTGAAACGTGTGTGCGGTGGACGGACAAGGTGAGGGCACAGGTAAGAGCGCAGACGAAGGGGTAAGAGGAGGCGCGGGGAGAAAGTGGAGGCACAGGGCGGGGGGTGGGAGCGTGGCACGTGGCTGGGGGCCGGGCAGCTGGGGCTGGGGGCTGCTCCGGCCTGCTGACCTCGGAGCAGGGACGGGTAGACCCGGGGGAAGGGGTGAGCTGAGGTGGGTGAGCAAGACTAAGGCAGAACGGAGGCCTAGACCGGTGCCAAATCAAGGCAACGAGGGCAACGGCGGACTAAGGGCGTTAGGCGAGCAGAGCGAGTGGGGGAGCGGGGGGGGACGGGGCTGGGGCTCACTCTGGGTGTGAAGGGCTTGAGGTCGCAGGGGCCCCGGGCACTGCAGGGCCCAGAGGTGTGCAGAGCTCCGGGGCCTGGAGTCTGGAGAGCCCGGTGGGGTCTGGGCTCCCCTCGGATGAGAACGGTGAGACAAGAGGGGCGCTCGGGTCAGGGATGCTGGGTGAGGGGCGCGTGCGCGCCGTGGGAGTCCGGGAGCGACGGGGGCGTGAGGCTGCGTGTGCACACGCCAGGGAACCGGAGCGTGTGGTGTGTAAGTACAGGTGCTCCAGGTGTGGCGGCGACGGGTGAGAGCGGCGGGTGGTGCGGGAAGTCCAGGGTGTGCCAGGGTGTGCGAAGTGCAGTGGGGTCCGGAGGAGGTGGGGGGTGAGGGCCCTGGGGTGAGGGGTGTGTGCGGGGTGAGGGGGCACGTGAGGAGTGAGGTGTGCTGGGTGAAGAGATGAAGATGAAGGGGTGTGCAGGGTGAGGAGACACGTGAGGGGCGGGGCGACACGTGAGGGGCGGGGCGAGGAGACACGTGAGGGGCGGGGTGTGTGTGGCGCGAGGAGACACGTGAGGGGCGGGGTGTGCGGGTCTGTGACTCCGGGATGGGGTGCGAGGCGAGGCGGCTGAGGTCGCGATACAGAGTGAGGCTGCGGGCACAGCTGGGACGCCGCGGCCCGGGGTCAGGGCGCGCAGGGACGGTGTGGCTCACCTCCCGCACCGCCAGCGCTCGAGTCGGATCCGCCGTCCACCTACGAGGCCTGGCACGAGGTCCCAGCTCCGAAAGGCACCCCGCCCCTTTCCGTTACCAGATCCGCCCTCATTGGCCAGTCTCCCGGAGCGGAAGGGGCGGGGCCGCAAGCACGTGCGTGCGCCCACCTCTGGCCGGTCCCGAGTCTCGGCCTCCAGGTCTCATTGGCTGCTCTCCAGAGCGGAAGGGGCGGAGTCGTCCCTGGCTTGTCTCTCGCTTGGGGCTCTGGGTGGCAGATGGGCAGGGTGCCCGGACCTGGGGACTTGCAGCGAAGGTCCGCTGGTGGTCCTGGTCATTGTGTTTCTCTGGGTGGCTCGTGAGTGCAAGGCCGTGCACTCAGGGCCCTGTCTGCCTGGCCACTGTGCCCCCAGGGTCCAGGACAGCACTTCGCACAGCAGGTGCTAGTACACATTTGTTCGGTTAGCTCCACGCCCAAGTATGTTCAGTCAGGACGAGTACAGTGCTGGGGACATTGTTGCATCTATCTTACAGAGCAGGAAACCAAAGAAGTACATGCAACTGGGAAGAGAGTGAGCCCTGGCTCCAGCCCAGGCCTGCCAGGCGTCACTGGCCTCCGAGCGGTAGAAGCACATGTCCCCAAGTCAGGACAGGCAAGAGAACCGCTCAACGGCTAGAGGGGCTGCACGTTAAGCTGTGGTCCAGAGGAGGCCAGAGAGATTGCTCATACCTCCACAGGCCAGTCTAAGCGGCTCGGTCTTTATTTAGAGGGGACCTGGGAAGGATGGGAGGCAGAGGAGTGACATGGTGAAGCGATCTCTCCGGCTGCGGGAGGGAGAGATGGAGCAGGCTGTTGCTGTGTGGGTGAATGATGTTGGAGATGTGAGTGGGGTGGAGGGTGGTGGTGGTCATGGTGGAGGGAAGTACCCAGAGTAAAAGGTAGACTTGACAGGGCTTGGTAATGTGGGAAGTGAGGAAGAAAGAAGGAATGGGTTGGTGGCTGGCTGGAGGGTGATCACTGGCTGAGATGGGGAACAGTGGGGGAGAAATCGATTTGGAAGGTTGTGAACTTCAGTTTTGAACACTTTGACTTTGGGATTCCAGATAAACCTGGGACCCACTGAATTTTCTTTCAGGGATTCTGACTCTTAGTGGACTGGTTGCAGAGTAAGAAACAGAGCTAGAACTGAGCCAGACCATTCTGGGCGCAGAGTGAGTATTTGCCCATCTACTAAGGCCATATCCCCTCCCCAAGCTGCCAGGTTCCTGCCCCTTCTGAACCTGGTTCCCTCCCTGTCCCTTCCCACCTGTGAGCCACCGTACATACTTCTCTTCCTTCCACCTTTGCTTAGACTTCCCAGAGCTGATTCCTGTTATAGCATCTCAGAAAAACGCCCATCAGTAATAACTCTGATGGGTGCGGAAGACAGCTTCAGGAAAGCATAGGAGTTTATCAGGATGAGAAACAACACAGGATTTCAGGCAAAAGTTCCATCGAAGGCAAAGGCAAGGTTGTGAAAAAGCCTTCTTCTTTTAGGGAATGGAGAGTCTGGTTGGGGCTCAGGATTCTTGAGTAGGGGCAGAAGATCATTTGGGCTGGAATGTGAGGCCTTGGGTACCCTGCCTGGTGGATGAGGTGGGCTCTCTGAAGAACCCAACAGAGCTCAGGCCAAGAAGGATGGGCTCTCAGTAAGCCCAGAGAGGTCAGTCTGCTCTTCCCATGCCCCTGTGCATCCCAAACCAGCTACCTATTCATCACGTGTTTTCTTTATACCCTTGTCATATAGTCAGACTGCATTTTCCAGCCTCCCTTGTGGTTATGAGCCCTGGCCAGTGGATACAGCCGGAAGTGCTCTGTATCATTACCAGGCTAGATCCATAAATCTTTCCACGAGTGATCCTTTCTCTCTCTTCCCCATGTACCTGCTGGATGTTGGGGTCCAAGGCAAATTGGGAGCTACTTAAGGAAGGCAGGGCTTCTGTCAGCCTGCCTTTGAATAATGGTGTGGAGCCAAGTTTCCATTTCAGCCCATGAACAGGAATTAAATTTCTTTCGAGTTAAACCATGAAGATGCCAGGATTTATCTGTTATGGCTGCTGTCCTTAACTAGTGCAGATCTGTAAACCCATGAGAGACAAGTAGTTTGTTCAGGTTTGTTGGGTTGTCACCAGAGGTTTATCTCTTGGTTTAGCACTATGGTTTCTCCTCTTACTTATTTTAACCAAGAACAAATCAGATTTAAAAAACAACAACAACAACAACTTTGGATTTCAACATTAATTAAAGGCCAGCTTTTTGGAGACCCTGCTTACTGATTTCCCAGAGCTGGGTGAGCAGATGTGCCCAGACACCTACCAAAACCCAGACACTTTCCCAAGGTAGTGTTACACAGGCACCCAGAGTGGCAGAGAGGTCTGTGAAGATATTTTTAGAAGCCCAGAAAAGCTCTGATGTGGAACGTAGCATTTTGTGAGCTTAGATTTACTTTTATAAGCTTCTCACTGACACTCAAAGGAGGTTAGGAGCCTCTGCCCTGGGAATCCTCTCATGTGCTCTTAGGGTTTTAATGGTCTTCAAAGCTGTTATCAGGAGCCTACATCTCCTTAGCTTTCAATTTATATTTTGAAGAGTCTGGGACATGTTCACAAATACTTCCTATAGACACATCAAACTCAACATTTAAAAATCTCATCTACTACCCCAATCACCCAAAGTAGAAAACGTGAATATCTTTGATGGCTCCCTATCAGGTTTTTCAGACTTGCCTTTAACACCCTCAGTTTCCGGAGTCTCGCTTCCTTAGTGTAAGTCCTGCCATTTCCCCCAATCCCACCACCGCCAGAAGCAGTAATGACAGGCCCCCTTCCTGTCCTACTGCCCTCTACTTTGTTCTTTTTTTTTTTTTAAGAAAAATTTTAAAGATTATTTATTTAATTTTTTAATTTATTTGTTTTTGAGAGAGATTCAGAGCGAGCAGAGGAGGGGCAGAGAGAGAGGGAGAGAGAGAATCCCAAGCAGGATCTACACTGTCACATGGAGCCGATGTGGGGCTCAAACTCACAAACCATGAGATCATGACCTGAGCTGAAACCAAGAGTCAAACGCTTAACCGACCAAGCCAGCCAGGCACCCCTTTTTATTTATTGAAAGACAGAGCATGAGCAAGGGAGGGGCAGAGAGAGAGGGAGAGAGTCCCAAGCAGACTTCACACTGTCAGCACAGAGCCTGCCATGGGGCTCAAACCCGTGAACCATAAGATCATGATCTGAGCTGAAATCAAGAGTCAGGAGCTCAACTGACTCCATAGTCACGTGCTCCCCCCCACGCCCACTCCGGATGGTTCTGTCATGTGGGCTGGCCAAAGTGATCCCATCAAAATATAGAGCAAGTTATATCACCCTCTGCTCCAACCTCAGTGGCCTCCCCCATCATTCAGGGAAACCAGAGTCTGGCACAGTCATCCTGTCCCCTTCTGCTTCACCCCCGCCCCCAACTCCGTGCCAGCCAAGGCCCTCCAGTAGTGTTCCTGCACTGCGGCAGGCACCTTCCTCCTTGAAGCTTTGGCTCTTGCTGTCCACTCTGCCAGGTATCTGCTGCCCTTGCACACTCATTTCCTTCAGGTGTGGATCAAATGGCCCCGTTCCGGAAGGCCTGCCTGTGCAACCCTGTCTGAAATTGCCACCCACCCCTCCGCTGCTCCCTCCCCTTTCTTTTCTCCTTGGCACCTATTACCACCTGACTTACTATATAATTTACTCATTCTTCTTGGTTAATGCCTGCCTCCCCACTAGACTCTAAGCCCCAGAGGGAGGGACTGTTTTGGCCAGTTTTATTCACTGCTGTATCCCAGTGCCTAGCACACTGTAGCACTCAATAGGTACTTACTAAGTGAATTATTCCAAAAGCCTCCTGGTTCCCTGCCAGCCACTCCATCCCCTGGTCCATGCCTGTTTCACCTAATAGTGAATTCCACATAGGCCAGTGCCTTGTTTGCCACTTAATCCCCAGCACAGAGCTCAATAAACAGTGTGAGAAGGCCCAGGATTGTATCTAATTCATTTCTGGGTTCTTAGCCCCAAGCAGAGTGCTGAAATCCAGATTCATTCTAGCATGCAGCGATAGTAACTGCCTGCTTATACTTTCACAAAAATTATTTTTTGTTTACTTCTAATGTTAATTTAACTTAAAAGCCATGTGGAAGAGCACGTGTTGCTCCAGATTATACTGTGTGCCTCCCACAGACATGACTGCTTGGCACCTTGACCGTGGCCCTGAGGTTACAGCCCCTCCCTATGGCCAGGAGGAGGCCGAGGGCCTCCACAGGGCTGTGCAGGGGTGCAGAGGGCATGACCACTCATGGAGGAGGCAGGTGGGCCCCACTCTCTGGCTGACAAACAGAAGTGGCCCCAGGGACCGGGTGAAGGTTCTGAAGCATGAATTTATTCTAAGTGTGGACAGTGGTGACCTCAGGAGAGATACGCGTTTCAAAGTAGGTCAGACGCCTCACAGTCTCCCAGCCCCAGCTCCCCATCCTCCTACTTCTCTGGCCTGAGCTTGGGCAAGGGAGGGCCTCAGTTCCCAGACAAAACAAAGGTACCTGGGAGCCAAGAGAGAATTACACAGCCTTATCTTTATTAGTATCTAGCAAGAAAAAGAAAATCAAAATCCCTTCCCTGCTCCAACCCCACCTCCACCACCTGGGCCCTCAGCAGGCAGCATCTATCTGCCTGGAAGGTGCCGGCTGCCAGAGCTGTCCCTGGAGCCTGGGCACCTGTGCACGGCCACCCCTTGTGCCTGTGAGCCGACCACAGGCCCCTTCCTCCACAACATGGGGACGAAAGGGCAGCTGGCATTTCTCCAGACCTCAGCTGTCAGCCTTGGGAACTTGGAAAAGATCAGCGATGTCCAGCAGAGCCTGGCGGATGTGGTTCCCAAAGCGCTGGGCATTCTGTGGGAGCAAGAGCTCAGACCAACCTTTAGGTGAATTCCTGTCCCTCTGCCCCCACAGCCAAGGACACTCCCTCCCCTCCAGACAGGGCCCCAGGTGGCACCCCCTCCTCAGGCCTGTGCGGGAACAGGGGAGACTCACTGTCTCT